AGTTTGCTTTTATAAAAACTATAATATAATCCATTAAATTAAACAAAAGGCAACATTCAAAATGTGGTAGAAAAATATGTGATGTTGATCTCAAGAGTCTGTTAAAGAGAAGAAAAATATATGGTGACATTAGAAAATGCTAATGTTGCCAGGCACAGTGGCTCAGCCTGTAATTCCAGCACTTTGGGTGGCCAAGGCGGGCAGATCGTTTGAGACCAGCATGTTTAACATAGTGAAACCTCATCTCTACTAAAAATACAAAAATTAGCTGCACATTGTGGATGCCTGTAATCCCAGCTACTCAGGAGGCTGAGGCAGGAGAATTGCTTGAACCTGGGAGGTGGAGGTTACAGTGAGCCGAGGTTGTGCCACGGCATTCCAGCCTGGGCAAAAGAACTAGACTCCATCTGGGGGCAGGGGGAAGAAAATGTTAATGTTATAAAACAATGTCTATGAAAGAATATATTTTATGTATAAAACGCTTAGAAAATGGATTGTAAGGATTTATATCAAGATGGTAACAGTGGTTAATTCTATAGGTAATATAATAGGGTGATTTTTTTTTTTTTTTACAATAATATGTATCAATTCTAAGATAAGAAAAAGTTATAGGCCAGGAATGGTGGCTCACGCCTGTAATCCCAGCACTTTGGGAGGCTGAGGTGAGCAGATCACCTGAGGTCAGGAGTTCAAGACCAACCTGGCCAACATGGTGAAACCCCGTCTCTACTAAAAATACAAAATTAGCCAGGCATGGTGGCGTGTGACAGTAATCCCAGCTACTCGAGAGGCTGAGGCAGGAGAATAATTTAAACCCAGGAGGCGGAGGTTCCGGGGAGCTGGGATCGTGTCATTGCGCTCCAGCCTGGACAACAAGAGTGAAACTCCAACTCAAAAAATAAAAAAGAAAAAGGCCGGGCGCGGTGGCTCAAGCCTGTAATCCCAGCACTTTGGGAGGCCGAGGCGGGTGGATCACGAGGTCAAGAGATCGAGACCATCCTGGTCAACATGGTGAAACCCTGTCTCTACTAAAAATACAAAAAATTAGCTGGGCATGGTGGTGCGTGCCTGTAATCCCAGCTACTCAGGAGGCTGAGGCAGGAGAATTGCCTGAACCCAGGAGGCGGAGGTTGCGGTGAGCCGAGATCGCGCCATTGCACTCCAGCCTGGGTAACATGAGTGAAACTCCGTCTCAAAAAAAAAATAAAATAAAATAAAATAAAAATAAAAAAGAAAGAAAAAAAGAAAAAGTTATAAACATAAAAACAAAACAAAACAAGCAGTGGGTTTCCCACTTAGGTTTGAGCCATTTCAATGATCTTAGTTAAAGTTGCTTAGTATGAGTAAACTAGCCCACTTAAACAATATTTACAACATGAAAGTGAGATTGGCAAAATAAATACGGCATATGTACCACTCCTTGAAAGTCAACAAACCCATTATTTAAAGAACCAAACAGGACATGAATTCCTGAAACAAGATTCCAGAAACAAGAATCATGGTCTGAAAATATTCTGAGCTTCCCACAGTGTGGGCTGAAAAAAATGGAGACCTAAAATGAGGATACATTCTCAGTAACAGAATGGTTAATGAGAATGAAGCAGCACCAGCATAAGTACATCAAAAACTGCTCTTTTGGCTGGGTGTGGTGGCTCAAGCCTGTAATCTAGCTCTTCGGGAGGCCGAGGTGGCAGATCACCTGAGGTCAGAAGTTCGACACCAGCCTGGCCAACATGGTGAAACCCCTCTCTACTAAAAATACAAAAATTAGCTGGGCATGGTGGCACACGCCTATAGCCAGCTACTTGGGAGGCTGAGGCAGGAGAATCGCTTGTACCTGGGAGGCGGAGGTTGCACTGAGCTGAGATCATGCCACTACACTTCAGCCTAGGTGACGGGGAGACTCCGTCTCAAAAACAAAACAAAACTGCTCTTTTACTTTTTGTTGTGACTACTGCAAGTTAATTGCTAAGATGTCAAATTCAGTTGATAACCAGGGCTGTATAAAGTGACCCATTAATTTGTGCAGAGGCAAAAAAAAAAAAAAAAAACAAGAAAAACCAACCCACAAAACAAAGCAAAACAAAATTAGGCCTTAAAGAGGGGAATAATGAACTCTGAAGAGTAGCAAAAAGACAATGAGGTTTCATAGCATTGTGGTTGAGACTCTGGAATCAGATTACTGGGCTTCATGTGCTGGTTCTACCACTTAGTATCTCCTATATCTTTGGCAAGTGACTAACTTTTTTTTCTGCTTCATGTTCCTTATTTGTAAAGTGGGAAAATAACAGTACCTACCTCATGAAGTTTTCATGAGGATTAAATCAATTATTGTTAACCATTTACCACCATGCCTGGCACATAGTAAGTGCCATGTAAGTATTAGCTGTAAGCATTGTTTAAGTGTCACTATTAATCTTATATATCTAATTGGAGTTTCAGAAAGAGGGGGGACAGAAAATAGAGTAGCAGAAAGGCTAGAAGAGATAATAATTAAAAATGTAAAGAACGAAAGAAAGACAACCACCTTGAGGTTCAGGTTACCCAACTAATTTGAAGCAGTACAAACAAAGTAAAATCATACCATACTTATGCTGGTATCCATACCTGGCACATAGAGAGGCAAAGACATATTAAAAGTAAGCAAAGAAGACTGGGCGCGATGCCTGTAATCTCAACACTTTGGGAGGATCACTTGAGGATAGGAGTTCAAGACCAGCCTGGCCAACATGCCAAAATCCTGTCTCTACTAAAAATACAAAAATTAGTCAGACATGGTGGCAAGCACTTGTAATCTCAGCTATTAAGGAGGCTAAGGCTCAAGAACAGCTTGAACCCCAGAGGCAGAGGTTGCAGTGAGCTGAGATTGAGCCACTGTGAGACAGAGTGAGACTCTGTCTCAAAAAAATTAAAAAGTTAATTATAACTGATAAGAAAATAAAAATAGACGGTATAACTTCCAAACTAGTAAAAGGAAAAAATAAAATGAGAAAAAATAATTGATGTAAAGAAATAAGAAAACAAAACAAAATTTAATTTAAAAGGCAGAACAAGCTGGGCGTGGAGGCTCATGCCTGTAATCCCAGCACTTTGGTAGACAGAGGCAGGCGGATCACAAGGTCAAGAGATTGAAACTATTGTGGCTAACAGTGAAACCCTGACTCTACTAAAAATACAAAAATTAGCTGGGTGTGGTGGTGACCGCCTGTGGTCCAAACTACTCAGGAGGCTGAGACAGGAGAATACCTCAAACCCAGGAGGCAGAGGTTGCAATGAGCCGAGATCACGCCACTGCACTCCATCCAGCCTGGGCAACAGAGTGAGCCTCTGTCTCAAAAAAAAAAAAAAAAAAAAAACCACAATAAAATGTTCTTTACAAAACAACATCTAGACTGTAAGGATATGGAAAGGTTAACATAAAAAGATGGGCAGATGGGAAAGATGTTCTCCTTTTCCTAATCATTCTATTTAAAATTGTAATTCATGCCTTCTCCTTGCTGGCCAATACTTCCTAGATTGTCCCTTAAATGTTGGTGTTCCTGACAGTTTCATTGTTGTCACTTTTCTCTCACTCAGCACACTCTTCCTGGGCAATCTCACCCATACTGACAGAGGTAATTATCAACCATGCACTGATGACTGTCATGCTATGATAGCTCAGAACCCTACCTTGAGCACTGGGTCTTTATAAGGCAAAGAATAACTAGATAGCTTAAGCTACATATTCTTTTTTTTTTTTTTTAAGACGGGGTTTCACCACGTTGGTCAGGCTGGTCTTGAACTCCCGACCTCAGGTGATCCACCCACCTTGGCCTCCAAAGTGCTTGGATTACAGGCATGAGCCACCACACCCGGCCCAAGCTACATATTCTTAAACTTATGATGTTCAAAACTTTTCCCTCCCACCAGACTAGTGCCTCTTCTATTTCTTCACTTGATTAATAGCACTTTCCACCACTGAAGAAAAAAAAGCATGAAGTCACCTTAGCCTCCTTTTCAGATACTTCACTCTCAATCACTTCCAACTAATCACTAAGTCCTGGGATTTTTATTTTTATTTTATTTTTTATTTTTTTATTTTTTGAGACGGAGTTTCGCTCTTGTTACCCAGGCTGGAGTGCAATGGCGCGATCTCGGCTCACCGCAACCTCCGTCTCCTGGGTTCAGGCAATTCTCCTGCCTCAGCCTCCTGAGTAGCTGGGATTACAGGCACGTGCCACCATGCCCAGCTAATTTTTTGTATTTTTAGTAGAGACGGGGTTTCACCATGTTGACCAGGATGGTCTCGATCTCTTGACCTTGTGATCCACCCGCCTCGGCCTCCCAAAGTGCTGGGATTACAGGCTTGAGCCACCGCGCCCGGCCAGTCCTGGGATTTTTAATCTTAATACCTGTAATATCAGTTCCTCTTTCCCAGCCCAAGTGCTGCATCTCTAGTCCAAGGCTTACTTTAAAAAAAAAGTTTTATAAGACGGAGTCTCACTCTCTTGCCCAGGGTGGAGTGCAGTGGCGCAGTCTTGGCTCACTGCAACCTCCACCTCCTGGGTTCAAGTGATTCTCCTGCCTCAACCTCCTGAGTAGCTGGGACTACAGGTGCATACCAACACACCAGGCTAATTTTTATATTTCTAGTAGAGACAGGGTTTCACTATGTTGGTCAGGCTGGTTTCAAACTTCTAACTTCAGATGATCTGCCCACCTCAGTCTCCCAAAGTGCTAGGATTACAGAACTGAGCCACCTTCCTGGCCCAAGGCTTACTTGTATATCTGCAAAAGTCTTCATACAAGTCTCTGCTCTGCAAGTCAAAATATCCACAGTATATTTTCAGTAATCATTCTAAGAGGTCTATATGACTATGCCATTCCCTTGTTCTATAGTAATTCCTTTCTCCCATCATTTCCGGGGAAAGTAAATTCCATAGAATAGCATATGAGATATTTCAGTCTTTTCTTTACCTATCTGTGGCAGGCTTATCTGTAGCCATTCTTTCCCATGTAACCTAAGCTCCAAGTAAACTGAATGACTTCCAGTTGCTCAAGTCCACTAAATGATCTCTGTAATGTTATGACCCAGGTTGCCAGCAGTCGTATCTCTTTGCGTTCAAATTTTTTACTCATGGCCCAAGGCCTGTAATCCCAGAACCTGGGGAGGCTGAGGCAGGAGGATTGCTTAAGGCCAGGAATTCAAAGACCAGTCTGGGCAACACAGGAAGACCTCTTGTCTTTCAAAAAACGTTTTAGAGAATTAGCTAAGCAGCCAGGCGCAGTGGCTCATGTCTGTAATCCCAGCACTTTAGGAGGCTGAGGCAGGTGGCTCACGAGGCCAAGAAATCAAGACCATCCTGGACAATATAGTGAAACCCCATCTCTGCTAAAATACAAAAATTAGCCAGACGTGGTGGCGCGTGCCTGTATCCCAGCTACTTGGGAGGCTGAGGCAGGGGAATCGCTTGAGGTTGGAGGTTGCAGTGGGCCAAGATTGCGACACTGCACTCCAGCCTGGCGACAAAGCAAGACTCCATCTTAAAAAGGAAAAGAAAAGAAAATTGGCCAAGCATAGTGGCAGAGGCCTGTGCATGGCTGAGTTGGCAGGATTGCCTGAACCCAGGAATGTGAGGTTATAAGGAGCTATTACTGCATCACTGCACTCCAGCCTGGGTAAAAGAGTGACCTTGCCTCTAAAGCAAACAAACAAAAACAAACAAAACCACTACATTTACTCATCCTTTAAGTACAAACATGTTGCCTCCTGTGAGAAAATTTTCCAGAAATACCATTTAACACACTAATGGCCATGTCTCTCCATTGCTCTGTTGCTGATCAATTGTGTTTATCTCCAAGTCAGCCTCCGAATATACCCCAAATCCTCTTTCTTCAAGTTGGAAGCCACATTTATGTAGCTTGAATATTAAAGTTATGTATGTAAAAATTTAAGATCAGGTGAGTTTGTAAACTTCGGCAAGCTTATCAATGGACAGGACCTTCCAGTGGAAAGAGCACTTGACTATAAGTTAGGAGATTTAGGTGTCATCCTAAATCTGTTTCTACCTTACTTTCTTTGGCCTGTTTCCTCCCTCATAAAGGAATGTAGCTACAACCCTAGTCTCTGAGTGGCTATTTACGGCCTGTTTGCCTTTTTATTTTCATTCTCCGATCCATTCCCCTTCATCTTACAGGTGAGGTAACTGACACTCAGACATTATATATAACTTAGTCAAGATCCTATACAATTAATCAATGACTAATGGCGATGGAATCTTGAGAACCCGGACTGCGGCTAACCTATAAAAACCTGCCTAGTTCTTTTTTTTTTTTTTTTAAAGACAGGGTTTCACCATGTTGGTCAGGCTGGTCTTGAACTCCCGACCTCAGGTGATCCGCCCGCCTTGGCCTCCAAAGTGCTTGGATTACAGGCGTGAGCCACCACGCCCGGCAAAACCTGCCTAGTTCTAAAATTATTTAACACACCCACTTAACAAAAACAGAGGAAATGGGTAAAGAAAACGCCAGGAAATATGGGACTTAAAGGAACAAAAACACCCAAGGAGGAGAAGGCGGCCTGAGACTTCCACGAATTACAAGCCAATTTCCTGTCCTGGGTAAACTTCCGGAATCAACAACAGGAAGGCCCAATCAGAATCTTCCTCCGAGAGCCAATGGGAGAGCACATTACAAAGAGCCAATCCCAGCGGCGCTGTCACTGTTATGGTCCTGTGAGGGCGCCGGCGTCGTGGTGCTTGGGTGGTCGCCACCGAGAGGACTTTGGTGGGGCAGTCTCAGGACAGCTCAGCGGCTAACTGTGCCCGTCTGCGGCCTCGCTCCCAGCTTGCACATCCGGGCTCGCAGGCCGCACTGTAGGGCGAGCGTGCGGGTCGGCGCCGCGGCCGCCTTGCGATCTGAGCTCAGCCGCAGCTTCCTCTACCGCGGCCGGCTCGGAGGGACCTTGAGATGCAGCCTCCGGGCCCGCCCCCGGCCTACGCCCCCACTAACGGGGACTTCACCTTTGTCTCCTCAGCTGATGCGGAAGGTGAGGCTGAGCCCAGGAAGGCCCGTCACCCGGAGGACGCCGGGGCCCGACGCCGTGGGGTTTTTCTGGTGCCGAGGCGGTCGTGGCCGGGTGGGGACGGGCAGGAAGCTGACTGGTGACTGCTGCTGTCACCAGTCACCGTCCGAGAAGCCCCAAAGGACGGAGGGAGGGGTGTAGGGAGCTGTCTTTAAAAGCATCAAGTTACTCGGTCTACCTCTAGCTTTGCCCACACCGTCTGGTGGCTGGTTTTTCTGGGTGGCTTATTCTCTTGAAGTGGACCCACGGAACCCTAAGATTTTGTTTCTGGAATTACTCGCAGTTACTCAGAAAAAGGACAGATTGGCCAAGGGAGATCTCAAAGAATTTGAGAAAAAGGAAGGAGGGCTGTTTTCTTCTGTTGTGTATCAATAGATAACTTTTTGGGGGTGTGTGGGATCAGATTCTCCACTGCAAATAAGGGGAGATAACTTTTGGGAGGCATCTGGTTATCAGATTCGGCACTGCAAATACAAACTAAGTGGTTTTTACGGAATTTGATGTCTTGCCCGAGTCTCCGTTTTCCTCCCATTTTGTAATGTTTCACCTAGGTAATCAAAGAAATTAACCAAGGTATATTGGAAACTTCGCGTAGTGCAACAGTGTGTTCCCAGTAGCCCCTACAGATTTCCTTGTACGGTTCTGAGGAAGCGATTGTGCTAGAGATACTTTTCTACAGCATGGGAGAATGTTTTCCTCCTTTTCTCAGTTCCCTACCCAACTCATAATCTGGATCTTATTCTGCTAGTCATTTTCAAATTTTACTTTTATTAGACTTTGTGCTTAATTTTTTCCAGTGACCAGACTTACTGCCTGCTGTGAAAAAGTAAATTATGTTTACAGAAATTTCAGTCTGAAAAAGAACCTAGATTTTCCTAAGAAATTTTATGGTGTATCATTATAGTTTATTTTCCCTTTTGTTTTGTTTTTCTTGTTGTGCTGTTTGAGTGGCATTGCTTTTAAAAAATAGTAATGGTCGTAATTTAAAATGTACAATAAAATTTTTGTGTATCAAAGGGAACATAGGTGATACATTTATTTTTTTTCTTTTTCTTTCTTTTTTTTTTATTTTATTTTTTCTAGAGATGGGGTTTTACCATGTTGGTCAGGCTGGTCTCAAACTCCTGACGTCGTGATCCACCCGCCTTGGCCTCCCAAAGTGCTGGGATTACAGGCGTGAGCCACCTCGCCTGGCTTTTGTTTTTGTTTTTGTTTTTTTGAGATAGGGTCTCACTCTGTTGTCCAGGCTGGAGTGCCAGTGGCTTGATCATAGCTCACTGTAACCTCAGACTTCTGGGCTCCGGTGATCCTCCTGCCTCAGTCTCCTGAGTAGCTGGGACAGCAGGTCTGCGCCACCATGCACAGCTTATTTGTAAACTTTTTGTAGATCTCACTGTGTTGCCTAGTCTTGTCTCAGACTCTTGGCCTCCCAGATTACTAGGAATACAGATGTGAGCTACCAGCCCAGCATACATTTCTTTTAAACTTATGTATACCAACCCCAAATATTTCAGTTTCATCTACATTTAGTAGCATGGTACTTAGGGAAGTATATCAACTTTAATTTCCCAGGTTTAAAAAATTGTTTCCATTGAGTATCAGAACATGATGTTTGTTCAGACTCATGTTTCTATGTTATTCAAACTTCTCTGTATTTTCTCAGAAGACATATAGCTCTGTATATCCAAGAAGATATATGTGTATTCAAAATAATACATTCATACAATATGATATTGTACAGTTTAAGTTTAGAGTATTTTAAACATAATACTCATTTGCTCTTCTTTTCTTTTCTTTTTTGAGACAGAGTTTCACTCCCCCTGCCGAGGCTTGAGTGCAGTGGCTTGATCTCAGCTCACTGCAGTCCCCTGCCTCTTGGGCTGAAGTCGAGTCTCCCGCCTCAGCCTCCTAAGTAGCTAGTACTGCAGGTGTACGCCACCATGCCTGGTTAATTTTTGTATTTTTTGTAGAGACAGGGTTTCACCATGTTGCACAGGCTGGTGTCGAGCTCCTGGGCTCAAGCAGTCCACCTACCTTGGCCTCCCAAAGTGCTGGGATTACAGGGGTGAGCCACTGTGCCCGGCCTTGTTTGTTCTTTTTTTTTTTAATAATTTATTTATTTTACTTTAGGTGCATGCTATATCTGGCATTTCTCCCCATGTTATCCCTCCCCACCCCCCTCCCCATCCCCCATTGTCTATCGCCCCCCCCCCCCCACCTCCCATTGTCTTTCCCCTACCCCTCCAACTGTCCCCTGTGTGTGATGCTCCTGTCCCTGAGTCCACGTGTTCTCATTGTTCAACACCTGCCTGTGAGTGAGAACATAAGGTGCTTGGCTTTCTGTTCTTGGGTCAGTTTGCTGAGAATGATGGTTTCCAGATTCATCAAAGTCCCTACAAAGGACACGAACTCATTGTTTTTTATGGCTTCATAGTATTCCATGGTGTATATGTGCCACATTTTCTTTGTCCAGTCTATCATTGATGGGCATTTGGGTTGGTTCCAGGTCTTTGCCGTTTGTTCTTTATAACACTCCCAGTGAGCTTTATTATTCCTGAGGCTAGCTGGGTGTGGTGGCTTACACCTGTAATCCCAGCACTTTGGGCCGAGGTGGGCGGATAGTTTGAGCTCCGAAGCTTGAGACCAGCCTGGGCAACATGGCGAAACCCCATCTCTACAAAAAATACAAAAAATTAGCCATCTGTGGTGGTGCGCACCTGTGGTCCCAGTTACCCTGGAATCAGCTACTCTGAGGATCACTTGAGCTCGGGAGGTCTAAGCTGCAGTAAGCTGTGATTGTGGTACTATGCTCCAGCCTAGACAACAAAGCAAGACCCAGACTGAAAAAAAAGAAAAGGAAAAGAAACTGAGGCTTAGAGAGGTTTAGCAGCTTCTGCATGATAGATCGAGAATTAAGAGCTAGTCCACAGCCGGATGTGGTAGCATGTGCCTGTAATCCCAGCTACTCAGCGGGCTGAAAGCAGGATGATCACTTGAGCCCAGAAATTTGAGGCCACCAGGGGAACATAGTGAGACCTCATCTCAAAAAAACAAA